TGACAAACGCAAGACCAGAAGAAAGGAAAACGTAAGCTCCACATTATCGCGGAACAAAACGAAGAAACCAATGACCAACGGGACCAAAAGCAGCTTCGCTTGACACTGCCGAATCGCTGCGAAGAAGCTGCTAAGACGAACTTGTTTTCCCAACCCGTTCCGCACATGCTCGCTACAGTTTTCGGATGATTGACAGATTTCTTAACTGGGGCGATCATGGAAAGCCGAAAAGCGGCAAGATCAAAGGCCGTTGCCAGCCCCCCCTGGATGGTAGCTTACCGCCAAAAAACTTACCGAATTATAAGAACAGCCCTAAAGTTACTGTGTCTTGTAGTATGAAGCAAAGGTCCATTCCCCACCAAGCTACTGATAATCTCAAAAATAATAATGTGTCACAGAGCGTCAATGAATCATCGATCTATATTATTGGAAACGACTGTGGGAAAAGGACGATGTCTCGGCAGTTGATAAGCAAAATGACTCATCTCTTTTGAGGGATGAAACTCAAAGTGGGATCGTCAGATACAAGAAGAGTCCAATCGAATAATAAAACGATACGAAACACTTAATGTCGGCGAAGCTGTTTACGCTAGTGGCGGTAGTCTTTCCTGTCGCTATGTGAGTCATACCGTTGGTCCAGAGTGGTACAATCACAGAAAAGATATGAGCAGATTCCATCTCCGACAAGTTTGTTTTCATACCCTTTCTCTTGCAGTGAAATTAAACGTTTACTTCCATTGCCCTCCCGGCCATCAACTCTGGTATTTTCGGCATGCCAAAAGACATTTGTGCTGAAGTCATATTTTTGGCAATAAAAGAATTCAGTTCAAGGTAAGACGCCAAGTTTAGTACCCTTCGTGACGTGCGCATCGTCATCATTGATGAACCAACATTAAGCGTCTTTCAGGGAGAGAGAAGAGACTAAACGGGATTTAGAACGCGCATGATGCCAACATTTAACAATTAATGAATGAGGCTGAGTATCTTATGAAGTATTATGGAGATCGAGGAAGGTGTTATCCGTCGAGGCCGTAGGCCGAGGCGGATAACACTCTCCGAGATCTCCATAATTCTTCATATGATACGAAAGCCGAATTCAACAATTGTTTTATTATTCATTTAAAATAATTCCTAATTTAAAAACATAGCTAAAACATGCTTACCTCCATCGATGTTAAGTTCATCTTCGATATTGCACGTTTAGGGTTGTTCAGCTCCGCAAACATTCTCCAAATAGAAGATGTCGCCCTTCGAGTTGTCTTCTTGGTGTTCTTCTCATGTTTTTAGCTATTTTTTCGCCTAGTTCTTACTCTTGAAACGAGTGAAATGTCCTCCATTTTTGTTTTCACAACCAAAACAACTCAACCTCGTCCCCAAGTCTTATCGGTTAACGGTGCATTAACCTGCAAAAAAGCTGCAGTTTTGACGTCATCAGTTCATTAATCGCAAAGTTCTTCCAAATTTGGTCATCAGTAGCTGGTTATGGTGAATTATGCGTGTGCTTTTAGCCAATCAGAATCGGGGAAATGTTTTGAATGAATAATAAATAACGATTATTTCGGAGAAGGTTCCAAAACTAGAAGTAAATAAAGTATTAGTATCCATAAGTATTTTTGGTGCCATAACAGCTTATTAAATAACACTAGCAAACTTGAAAATTGCGTTATTTTTCAAGCAACCTCTCAGTGCAGTTTTTTTCCGATTTTTTAAACATATATTACGCGTCTTAGCTTACAAACGGCCAATGGTTGCGCAATTCTTTTCATTTTCTCCACGCCTGCATTAAGAAGCGTCTGGAAAGATTTGGAAAAGGCGGGTCTTGGAATGGGGAAGGGGGGAGCCTTTAAGCGCTGAAGCGTCCCCTGAGTTACCTAAGAAGCAAACTTTCTTCCTGTGGTGCCCCTTTTATCCAAGCTATGCATCCGTTCATCTCGTAGTAGAACTAGATACTATACTTAACGTTTGTTAGGGTAATTTATATAGTCCAGTCGTACAGGAATGAAATATCTCAAAACATCAAGTATGGTATCTCCATAGAATGGTAACAATCTGACCGTCTAAAGAGTCATAACGATTGACACCTGGAGTGAGGGAGACGACGGCGATGTGGGTTTCTTGTGTAAAGACCAAACACTGCAATGTAGGGCTCCATCGGATTTCGGATTAGAAAAGAAAATTAAACTTCCCTAACATCACTTGAGGGGTTCTCTTGAGCTAAATCGAGAGTATGACCTTATATAAAGGAAAAGAGAAAACGTTAATCAGCAAATAATATAGAACTTAAACTGGCCACCCTTGATCCGCCACAAGACATAACTTTCGCTCTTTATTACGATGTGCTGAGTGGTGCATAGCATATCTGTATTGGACATCTCGAAAAGGTTAGAAAAACTCAATTATTCAAGTACAAAGCCTCCTAATACTTATTTCAGCGCCAATTGCTAACTATAGGCAAACCTCTATCTAGTATATCACTAAATGATCCGTTTATAGTAATTTACTGACAATATTATCGCCCAGGATTCCAGTAAGTGGTCACTAAATACAAGGGTCCACTCAATTCTCGTAGTTAAAAGAGGTTCGATTGTTTCACTCGGGAATAGTCGATTTTAGCGTGGGCTAATGAAATCAACACAAAGATTGGGTGACCAGCCATGCAGGTATGATTGTTTTAAAGAGGACAGACGGCAAATTGTTGGTGCTCGAAATATCTAAAAGTCGTCACTGTTCATCAGTAGGATGCCTACAGTATAAAATGCTTGCGATTCCACGATTGTTTTCGGCTCCATTAAATCCTATACCAATCCCGTGTAGACCATTTTAGGAGGAGCCACCCACAATGTGAGCAGAGTTACTGACAAGGTATATGAGTATAGGAAAAACAACCCAAAGAAAATTTAATGCGTTAAATAACAAACAAAAGACACTAAATGCACACGTCAATACACTAACTGACAGGATAATAAAAGGATTAAATTAACAAAGGATATAGCGGCATCCTTCAGCCATTGAGTGCCAGTCTCCTTTCCTGCTGTGTAGTTTGACACTTATCGATGATTGCGCTTGAAGAATTTGTTAAAGGATTTGAAAGGTAGAGTGGATTCAAAGCCTTGTTCATTAAGACGCGATTAAGCTTAACGTTTAGCTGGTAAAATCACTACCTTTTTTTTTTTTTTTTCATCAACCGAGCTAAATGAATTAGTTTAGGAATATATGGCACTGTCCTTTAATTTTATAAATTTTCACAAACAAATTTATTGTATTTTCAAGGCCTTTTTTTAGTTATTAACGGGAGGGTGGAGCTTAGGGGTGTTCTTCGCCCCTCCATGCCATACTAGAGAACCGTGC